AAGAGGAAGGAAGAAAGACGGTGGCGGGTCCTCGCCGACTCGCGAGAAGCTAAAAAGGGTTTCTCGTTGCGGCAAGAAGATTTAGAAATTCCAGCCGGGGAGAGGAAGTCGCCCTCTTGCAACGGTGATAAAGCATTTCTTCGGCGGTGCTTTGTCATTTTTATCATAATTATTTACGGGTTAATTACTGGCGGCCGCCGGCCCGCGTGAATTTTTCTCTGTCAGTTGCACCTTAGACTTTCCAATTAAAAACGCGCTACATAATTCAACCTTCCCTTTAAAGGCTGTATCATGTTCGAAAGAATTATTAAACAGCTTTTATTTTTCTTTTCCTAACGCACCCTATCCCCCCCCCCCTCTCTCTCTTTCTCTCTCTGTCTCTCTCTCCGACTGTTCAACCACTTTGTGGACACGAAAGTTCGCCGCGCACGAGGGAAAATCATGAGAATGGCAGGTTCGTTCATCGCGCGAAAGTTAGCGTGATCAACTTGCCAAGTAAAATCATGGTAAGGGTGGATCTCGTCATCAGGGGCTGTGGCACAGCACGGTCTGCCGAATTTTAAGCCTGTATAATTTAACACCTTTGCCGGCGAAACTAAGAGAAACTGATGGTGAAGGGAACAACGGAGCTAGAAATACGAAGTTTGAAGTTTTCAACAGCACTTATCTATCCTAGCGGCATCTCTCGTTCCCCGCTCTCGGTGCCCTCTCCCCGCTATCGCCGCGTGCACTCTTTCTCCCTTTCTCTCGCTATCGTCCCGCTGAATATATGCCTGGCAGATAGAGACGGCTAAAGACCGAGGAGACGTGGAAGGAACAGAAACAGAAAGAGAGGATATCGAGAGGGAAAAGACAGGAGGGACGAGCGGAAACGCCCAAGTTGCTACGTCTGAGCTGAGATACAAGTTCTCGTTCTTCTGGCCTTTTGTTTTTGGAGTAGAATCGGTGGAGAGACGGCAGAGAACGGGAACAAGAACACCGTGTCTAAAACGAATTCGTTAGTGGCATCAACCCCTTTCGCTGCGCGGATGCCACCCCTGCCTTCGAATTTCAAGTCTCTGTCGTGAATAATTGCCCGAGTCAGATTAAGGCGTTGCCCGGTCGATTGATTGCGAATGTAATTAGAACGCAACGGGTTTCTATCCACCTTAGATTCGTCGGTTTTAAGAAAGCTTCGAAATTGTTCTCCTACGAAGAGATTGAACCAGAGTGGTTTAATATCGTAACTGCGCTCGATCGTTCGAATTTCTTCGAGCACATTGTAACGTTGAGAATTCGTGTGTTTCAGATTATGTCGCCGAGCCCGCAGAGATCAGTTAACGGAGAGACAACCCATAACCACAATGGCTACGCAGCGCCAGCGAGCTCCAGCGCCCATAACATTCTAACCTCCATGAACAATTTGAACGGTATCAATGCACAAACGCCTTACGATACCAAATGACAAACGAAGTAAGCGCCGACGCGTCGTACCGATCGTATCACAAATGCGTTGCCAAATTCGTTTAACGACACGGACGTCTTTTATATTATTACCGCTATCGTAGTGACACTCGGATCGTTTGCTCGTTACTGGGGGTCTCCAAAAGTCTGCTTGCACAACGCTCGAGGTTCGTTATTCGAACAACAACAACCGATTCACGAACTTTCGTAAAAAATTTTTTCACGCGTAGAAACAATGTTGAACACACAATTTCCAATGGCGACTTCTCTTTCTCGAGAATTTATTAGCTGGTGCTCTTTCGAAACGGGTACTTATTTACCCCTTTCATTTTAATTTCATCCAGATGGAAATCCGAATTCTCTGCAGAAGAAAAGATGCCACACTGATTTTCATTCACGTGCGAATGAAATCATTGGCGTTATTATGGATGAAGGTGCACTTTATATCGTGAAACGTAGTAGGTGATCAAACTCTGAACGACTGTACAAGTCGACACGAGTGGAACCATTGGTGCTGCTTAGAAGTTCAATTGTTCGAATTTCGCAAGATAACGTAAAAATCGACGACGTGCGAGAGAAGTGCAGGGAAAGAGATAGACAGAGAGACAAAGAGAGGAAAAGCTGGATGAGGTTAGAAGCGCGCGAGGAAACAATGCCGGGTAAACCGAATGCTCAGGGGTGATCAAAGTTTGGCCGTTCTTGTAGTCGACTTTGCTGTCCGCTGCTGCGGGCAACGCCGGTAAATCTAGCTTTACCGGACTACCGGACCAACGGACTACTACCGGAGAGGTAGAACTGGAGGAACGGCCAAACCGAGTGAAATTGGTGAGCGAAGTCGGCTTGGCAGATCGAATCGGTAGCTCTGGCCTTCGCCATCCAAACCAGCCAGAGCCACCTCCCCGCCCCCTTGGGGCTCATACGTTAGGGGTGACTTAAGCATTGTTTCAACTTCGAATCTCCCGGTAGAGGGGCAGATTGATGTCGCGAACTTTTCCGTTGCCTTATTTGCGAGTCAGATAACGAGGCTGAGTTATGCCGAAAGTTCTCTCTTTCTTTCGGATTGGCCGGGAGCCGCTATCAGAAACGAGCAGACCGGCCGAAGAAAATGTTTTATTTCCTCGCCGTGGCATACGTTTGGCCTTCGGAGATTTGTCTCGGTGGCACGCCTCCGGAAAAGAGTTTTCGCGATCGCTCGAAATGATAATAGGCTTACGTCTGTCGGATACGATAATTTTCACGGAGCGTAGGGGTGGGAGGGGGGGGTGGGGGACGAATACTCTGCCGTTTCCAAACGGAGAGAGCAGATACGACTACGATTCCCTGCAAGTTCGATCGCTTCACTTATCGACCCGATTACATGTAATAATTTATCGCGTAATATTATTTCGGCGAAGATATTCGCGAGCGAGCGAACGAGCCTCCTACGATCGTCCACGTTCCATCGTTTTCATCGAGGTTCTCCATTGAAACGATCTTTCTGTTCTCGTATTTTCTAAGAATACTTCCACCATACTCTGCGATTTTACGAATGCGAGCGTAGTTCCTAACGCTTGAGCATCTTTGGGACGAAAAGTGACGAAACGTAACGATCAGTTAAGAAAGAGGAAAGAGAGGAAAAAGAAAACATATCGTCTCGTACGACTACTAACCGATTGTCTAACCAAATTAACTCGCATAGATTAGTAGCGATCTGTGGTAGGCGATCTCTAGTCACACACTATCGTTACCTACATCATCAAGTATGTGCGCCATCGACGTGCATTGTATCCTGCAAGCTGCTTGTCTAACAGGGAAATCCATTTCGTCTTAAACGCTATCTACGATGCATGTAAAATCTTTGAAACGAGAATACGTAAGGGAAGTGTGTACGTTCGCTAGTATAGATATGTTTTGTATTATAGTTCTATCATAGAAATATTAATTGAAATAAAATTACTGTTTCGATGTTAACAGCCGTGTAGTGTTCTATATCGTTCAATACCCTCCCCGATATTGATTTCGCGACTGCGAGAAGTCAATGCTTCGCAACACATCTTCGCATCGGGCGGTGCTGCTGCCTCGGAGATTTTCCCTGCGTTTCTCGCATCCTTCGCGCTTCCTCTGAATTATTTAAGACCGCTACGTGATTGGCCGACAAATCCGCTATGCCTCAATAATTTACCAATCATACGCGGTCCTTTGTGTTTTATACGCCACGTTTCGAATAAATCGCATTGCGTATTCAGGAGAGCGGGATCCAACTCTATTCGACTGTGAACGCGTACCCTCGCTGCGTTCGCCTCGAGAACAAAAAGATGAGAAAGCGGATGAGAAGCTCTAGGATGCGAGAAATCGAAGAGAACGAGCGATCTTTCAAGGCTTCACGTCGAAAAACTTACGACGAGATACATGTCGCGCATCAAGTAATTTCTTTTCTCTTCTCGACGCGAGTAATTTCTCGATCTCGCGACGAAACAACGCGATCGCGGCTATAAAACACAGTCTGATTTCGTAAGCGGGACCGTTTATCTGGTCTATCGAACGACCGAGGCAAGTAAACTAAGCGGGAAACGGGGTGGTGGAAGGAGCGAGCATTCGATGTAAATTGGCAATTTTTCTCGTGCGGCCTGCGGTAATCATTGGCAATTAGACCCGCAGACTACCGATAAATGTTATTTATGGCCGTGATTATCCGCGGCGCACCTAGCTGCTCGAAGGTTCGTCTAACTATAAAACCCTTGCCCGGCCTGGGTCTAATTGGTCGGCGATTATTCCTGTTTGTACAAAATGTCGGTACAAACGCCACTTTACTTCGTCGCGAATACAGAGAGGCGAAACTTCCTGCTGAATCGCGTGGACCGATTTAATGCGCGCGAATCACGGATAGCAGCGAACAACTTGACCAAATGCGGCTTTATCGCCTAGTTAGCTCAGGCATATTTATTTACAAGAAACATCAGGGATCGATAATTCAAGTCAAACGACGGCACGATTCTAAAAAAAAGAAAATCGGTTGAACGCGACAGCTGGCGTGCCACGATGTCTGCCGCGAAAATTTCAAACTATAAAAATGAAAGATAGAAGCCAGATAAAATAGCATTTCACGTTGGAGCAGGTAAGGGTAATATTCAATATATTAAAAATATACATTTCGTAGCCGTAGTACGCAGTTGATTTAAAATAATTTCGAACGATATATTTTTCTTAGCGGCAATGATAAACGTTAATAGCCCGTCTCTGGTTATATTTTTCCACGGATACGCGTAGCACGGACAAAAGCACGGATGAGAACGCGGCGCGGTGGAATAGCCGGTGGTGGCTGGCCGAAAATCGTATTCCATCCGTTGAACGTGATTAAAAGGGAAGGAACGTACGCGTCGCGGCCCTCTCGCGGTCCTTGAAACAATATTATTATTAAAAGCTTTGCGCGGTGCCCGGTGATCCACGTGAGTCGACGAAATGACGAAAAGAGTGGTGGACGCCGGCCGGCGCCAGAGGAGAGGAGAAGGCCAGGCGGACGCGGCAAGGTAGGGACAGAGGGTGGCCTGGGAGAGGGTCCGGCGACGAAACAGCGATTAATTAAAAGAGCAAAAACTGTTTTCATAAAATTCATTTGCGGAAATATGCGCCGACTGAAATAATATCCGGCCGATGAGCGCGTGTCCAGGCTCGGCCCCGCTGTTCACGGGCACGCGGATGCTCGGAGTGAAAAACCGACGCGAATAAAAATGAAGGCTGGACGAAATGCGAAAGTTTTCGCATTTTTTTACGTTCGCCCAGCGGACCGTGTGGTATAGCGTACGTTATCGCGCGCTCCTGTGTGAGTGAGTACGTTTATTCTCTCTTGACCCGGCATCGTAAGCGTATCGCGCGTACACCGGTTACAAAGCAACCAATCTTCTCTGTCTTTTCCTCCTTTTCTCTGTCCCTTCCCTCGACCTTCTCTCTCTCTCTCTCTCTCTCTCTCTCTCTCTCT